TGCAAAATTATTCCGCTATTCTCTGCAGAGCGTGGGAACGGAGCGTAGCATACTTTTTTGAGTACCTAGAACACTCTCAGGAAGACTTATTTGGTAAATTGAGAGCGTTCTGGTACAGATTTGAATTTCAGTCAGAGGGTGCACTTGGAAATCGTCCGCATGTACATGCAGGGTTGACTCTTCACCCAGAGCATCGTAATTTCCATGCTGATATAGCAAGAGTTCATAATAGAATAGCAGACCTCTTTAGTGCATTTAATAAGTCTGATTATCGAACGCTTCTGAAGGAAGGTTTGGTCAAAAATTTTGAAGAATATGATAAGCTCTACAAATTAGGCGATTCCCTTACTCGTCACAGTTGTGAAAACGCAAAGGCAAGGTGCCAGAAACGTAAAGCTGACGGCACCTCAGCGTGCAGAGTACCTCGTCACGAGAATCATGCTCCCGGCTATTTCAAAGAGGCTCTTGCGATCTTTGATGACGAAACTCGTGATAGATTAGTGCAACTGGGATTGGGAACGCGAACTGCAAGCCCAATACAATCTCCTCAAATAAAAAATGTCATTACTTTAATTAAAGAGTTGAGAGCTGGTCGCTACATTTATCCAACAGACCCTGAATGCGTACGCGTTCCTAGCAATGGTCGTCTGTTTGCTGCTTTTCAGTCTATGGTAAACGTGCAATTGTGCGATTTGCGGTTTCAAACTTCATATTTGGTCAAGTATGCTGCCGGTGCCGACGAGAAACGCCAAGCTTATTTCAAGTTCATGAATGACGATTCTAATGACATTAAAGTGACGGTGCAAGGTCTGCACCATGAAAAGATTTCAGGTGCCAGGATTATCCACAAGGAAAAAAACAAGCGAGACGGAATTCATGAATCGCTAGCTCGTGAAATCTCACTCACCGAAATGATCTGGTTTTTACTCGGGCTCCCCTATGTTTGCTCGAATGTGCATTTTGAAAATTTTTCCACTTTTGCACCTGAGCAAAGATGTGCCGTTGTAAAAACTTCTCGCAGGAACGGCAAAAAATATTTAGGGCCTAACGATGCATTTTTGCCCGTGTCACTGAGAGCGAATTTGCCTGTATGGAGACGTTTTACAGAGTCTCAGTTGCTCCAAATACGCGAATATTATTTGTCACCGTTCCAGGTTGATTCAACGACAGGATTTTCACTCAGGCCGCCTGAATTGCGTTGCATCCGTTCGCCGTTTAACTATATTCAGTGGTTTACTGGCTCACCCGTTCCAAAGTATCAGGCCACAATGGACTTGCTCGGTTGTCCGTGGATTGATGGCAATTGCCGCAGAATTAAGGTGCGCATACGTTACCTTACAGTGGTCACAGAGTACTTGCGCAAGAAAGCTGATGTTAGCCATGAACATGGCATCGCTGAAATGCTTAATCTGTTCGAGATGTTGTCGCTAGAACTCAGTCACAATGCTCCAAAATCAGCCTTTTTTAAAGCTTTCGTAGATTCTACATGCACCGGAGACGTTGTCGTAGTTCCAACTGCTGCTGAGCCTCAATGCTTTCACAAGTTTCTGGTTCATCTTCTTTTATCTCAAGGCGAATTCGATACCGAGATTGATCTCTTTGGTTGCGAGAGTATGCTGCACTCTTTTAAAAAAGCGGGTTTAATTGCGGATCCTGACAATCCAACTGAGGACGAAGCGAACCAAATACTGGATAAATGGATAATGCAAGACTTGAGAGTTCTTCCGTTGGGCACTAAAGCGTTTAGCAGGTGTCTAAAGCTGGCTACCGAAGGTCTGCGCAACTACTTTAGGACTCGATGTATAGAGTATTCTGATGTGCCATTGGCCAGTCTTCGTGCTATAAAGATAAGCGCTGAAAACAAAGTAGAGAAGCTAGAAAACGACAATCGCTCTAAATTAGCAAATGTTTTGTCAGCATACAACTTTGCCAACGCACCTTCACCCGAAATCATTGGTAGAGGTAGAGCGTTTCACTTTTTCGCGGAGTTACGCGCAGATCTCGCCGGTCAATCGCGCAGCTCATTGATTGAACAGAGAGCTGCTCTTGCTCACATATGTGATACCATTGATTCTCACAACAATGTGAACATGGCTTTTAGCAAGTTCCCCCTCCTTGTTGGCCCCCCTGGGGCCGGCAAGACCTACTTGTTGATGCTTGCTGCTCTTTATTCTTTGTCCAAAGGATTGCATACGGTCACCACGGCCGTAACAGCTGAACGCTCACAGGTGCTTGGTGGTGAACACTTGCATCTTCTCTTCAAACTTCCTGTATCCAAGAGCAAATTGCAGAGCTGTAGCTTTATCGCTCAGAATTGCCTTGCCAATTTGATTAGAAATCCTGTTAGGTTGGCTTACCTCAAAAGGATCGATGTATTGATCATTGAAGAAATAGGACTTCTTCCTGCTTATCTCTTCAATGTTCTGGACGTCGTTTTTCGTAGAATCAAGAACTCCAATTCACCTTTCGGGGGTGTGCTCATTCTTGCTTCTGGTGATGCGAAACAGCTTAAGCCAGTTGAAGGTAGGCCACTTTGGCTGAGCCCCAATATGTACACAATGTTCCTAGTATTGTGCTTGAAGCATTTTGTACGATCACGAAGTGATCCCGAGCTGCAAGAAATTATCCGAATAATGCGTAATCCAAGGATTAGTGCAGAGCACGTGGATATTGTTGTTACGAAAATCTCTAAACGTTGCTTCCCTATAAACTGTGTGTCATCTTGGGAACTGGTGCCCGACAGTTACCATAGAGTTGTTGGAAAAAACACGGCTGTTGAACACGCCGTTCAGGTATTTTTAAAACAAAAGAAAGCTGAACCTGGATTACTCCACATTAATCTCCTTTCTAATGACGAGACTAATTTGATTGGAGGAAACTGGCAGCCTGCAAATAATTTCATAAGCAGTCAATTGTCGCGCCAAGTGAAAGAGCCTCAACAGTTGACGATGTATGTTGGGCAAATATTTAGGCTTACCTATAATAATACAAGTCCGACACGTAGCTTTCCCAGATTTTCTCAGGGACAGCTGGTGATCGTGACGCAGCTCCCTGACCTAACGCTCGAAGTAGACCAGCAGCGCGTTGAGGTGAAGTTATTGCCGCCTGGCGTGCGAAATTTTGATATTGATTCAATTCCTGAAGGTTGTAAACAATTCAAGCTCGCGCGCCATTACACAACTCCAATCATTATTGGCAGTCCACATACGAAGGCCCGGCGTTATCAATTTCCTTTGGCGTATTTCGTCTGCAGCACGGTCCATCGGCTTATCGGCGATACTTGCAGTAAGCTAGCGACTCAAATTAGTTCCGGTCGCAGTAAGTTTTCATTATGGGATCGCGATCAACTGCTCGTGATAATTAGTAGAGTGAGCTCCCTTGATGACATTATGTTCGTTGGCACTGAGTCGGACACCTTGAATGCAATAAGGGAATTACTAATGCAAACTGACCCTTGGGACGAACACATCGACAAGGTAATGAAAGCATGCGATGTTTTGCGGGACGGCGGAGGAATCCTTCCCTCCAGTAATTCGTTGCCTTCTCTAGCTACATGCGTTCCTGCCGCGAATTGTGGTTTCGTCTTCATGTTAGTTAGTCTTAAGTTTCCTGAAGTTTACAAGCTGGACCAGGCGACCTCCATCGAAGTAATGCTTAGGAAATATAACTCGTCTGATTTGCCTGGTATTAGCCATCTTAGACCTTATGCTCTTGCTTGCTTTGTATGTGGATTTCCGGAAACAGATCAGGAGGAAAATATTAAACTCAGAAAAGAGTTTCTGATCACTTGGGTTGAGACAATGTTTCAACACCATCGTGATTCTAACAGCAGCTATGTCGCCATGTGTTGTGGCAAACGCCTGTTTACTATTATTCGTAGGGATGTGCCAGAGGCTTCAAAGCTAATGTTTAAACAGTGCTGCGTATTACCGCGGAGAATTGAGCCTCTCCCACATCCTCTAATTCCTGGCACTTTGATCGGCGACACATGCTCTCAACAAACTCGCAGTAGATCCGGCCAATTTTCGCAAAAACGACCTCTTTCTTTTCAAATGGACGAAATGCCTGCCGTTAAAAGGCGAAAATAAAAACATGCTCTCGACAGTTAAACACAATGGTTCCATTTAAAGGTACTTCGCTCAAACTACACTTGAATAATATCGGAATTTTTAGCTTATAGATAATAGAAATTTGAATAGTTGACTCTCTTCTGAGTGACTGGCCCATTATACATCGCTTAGGCTGTCCTTGCAATTGCTATCACTTTTTTCCTTGCGGATTGTGCTGTATAGGTTATTTTAAAAGCGAAATTACTTGATCTGATTGTCTTCTTAGCATCCAATCGATTGATTACTTGTGTAATGTTATTTTTTCTATATTGGTTCGAATATGACAGTATATTTGCGATACTACCGTCAATGACGTTTCATAAATTAGATGAAGCGACATGATTGATAAAAATGGAATATTAGTGCACCCAGGTCACATTGCAGATATATTGCATCATAATTAAGCGCTTGCGTCGTGTGTAGAACATCACACCATAATGTTATTTTTTTGTATCCTTGTTTCTGTACATATTTTTAAGCCTTGATGTAAAATAGATGTATTTCCATTTCCAACCATTGTTTCTTTCCCTTCATACACTGCAGGGTGATGGTACATCTTACCATTTTGGGAAACGAGACGATCCCACAGGACCCGAGTCTTATATAATTAGTCAAATCTAATAATCTTGTGATTACATAAACTGTCTGTCGAAATTTTTGCCATCAGTTCCTGCTTGGCAATCGCTTCTTGAATGCAACATACATATTTATTGCAAGGCATTTACTTCTCGATGTGTTTGACTTTTCGAACATAGACGTTTATCATTTTCAGCACCTTTATAGTAAATTCAACGAGATCTTAGATTAATCGTTTTTTGCCTGCTGAAATGGTTTTACAAGACCCTTAATGCATCCCATGTCGTGGGAATTGTGCAGTACGCAAACCGTCTAAGTGCGGCAATTATTTTTCATTCTAACTTTCACTTCTTTTACCGAGCCATCAGAAAGATGCCCTCTACCGTAGAAAACTTTCTCTTGGAAGATAAAGTGGCTGAAGCCACCGCGTATGTCCAGGGAGACAATGTAGAGTACAGAACTTTAGAAAACATAAAAATCGAAGACGAAGATATTGTAACCTATGCAATGCTTCTTTCGATAAAGAAGCCCAAAAAGTCGGCTAGGACACTAGTTGGAAAAAAAACCATGATTGCAGAGTATGATCGTCTCTTCCTTTTCAGGTAATAAAAATAACTTACTTGTGAGCGAATTTCTGTAAGGATGTATATATTGTTGCTTATACTTCTTCATATCTCTCATTTTTGTCCATAATCCTACTTTTCGTTTTCGATTTCATATCGCTTTTTTTGCTTCGTCTTAAAATTGCAATACTATTTTTCAGAGAGGTGATCGAGGGAAAATTATTTTACGTGCTGTGTAAATATCAGACGAATACCAACTGTCTCTTATGGGCTGAAGATGACATCTTCATTGGGAGTTGCGTCGCGTTCTTCGAACCAACATTGGAAGGAGATGTACACGGCATACCTCTGATCCAATGCGAAACCAGACCTGTGCCTATTATCGTCGACCTTGCGAAAATAAAAATTTCGCCAATACTGCCAACTCTCCAAGACTCTGAGCATCTCACGTCTTTCTTCATAGAAGTCAGTGATATCGACTTTTGTAGGATAACACCTGAACGGGCCTGCGCTTCGCGCCAATGTGATAGCCATCACATGACTAACACGTCGGCCACGTGTCCTGGACAATCAGGAGGGTCAACGAGGAATATTGCACTGTATGCTCCCCACGTTTCAATTCCGGAACTGCAGCACCAGGATAACCATGGCGAAAAGACGACATTCTATAGCGAAAGCTTAGCTCAGCTATTTATTCATCCAAATTCTTTGAAGGTGAGCAGGAGGAAAGTAAAATATTTTAAACTTTGCAATTGTATTACTTTTTAATATTCATTGCTTCAAGTTGTGCGCGTTTTAGCAAGCAAGTTATTGTGAAATTTCTATCTGAAATACAGTTACATTATTCATAAATACAGTACAGTAACTGAGGAATATTACACTCTTGTTTCAGAGAGCAACGCTCAACACGAAGAAGCTGCGCCTGGCTGTTTCACGAATCTTGCTCGAATATAAAAAGAACAAAATTACATGGTTGGTTGCTGGGTGGTTCAAACGCCACTACGGCCCCGATGGGACTCCTTCGAAAGTAAGGAAACATCACCTAGTAAGCATTGTACCTCGAAGAATTCTCGACGTTCAACTATACGATGAGAACACTACACCTGGAAAACAGGTTAAACCTAACATAACGGCTCCCGGAAGGTTCCTCAACCCTGGACCATCGTATGTTGGAGAGTTTGACCAAAGGCTGGACGTAGACGAAACCGAAGAAAGTCTGCCAGAAATCGCAGGTGGCGATGATCAAGAGCGTCCATCTAAACGTTGCCGAGGCGATGTCAGTAATTGATTTCCGACACTCGTGCCTGAAAATTATCTACTGAATTATTATCATCTGGAGTCTTCATGAAGATTTGTTCCGTACACAGCGGAACAGTTATTCTTATTTTTCTCCTAGTACACCTAAAAATTTGAGATCGTCTTTAAAAATTAACAATTCTAAACTTCGAATGGCTTTTATTAGTGAACCAATGAAAATTATTACTGAATACTTATAAGGTATCAGATTTTTTAAATTCGTAGCGAGACGCGAAGAGTCTTTTGCGTAATGTTGGTGTTACATTGGGCAACCAAAGTCAGTATGCTAAAGTACTCGCCATTAAAGTGCCCTACAAATGAGCAATGATTGGTAGGATTTCCAGAGGCCAGTAGCTCGAATTTGTCATAGCTTTTGCGGCTTAGCGTATGTGACTGTCTGTATTCTATAAGAATTCTGCTGTTAAGTTCTCTCTCGATCATATATACAAATAAGCAAAAGTCCACGGAAAATTTTGTAATTCTTTTTCACTACATTCATCATAAAATAAATGTTTTTGTTTTCATTTCCTACCATTTTCCATGAACCTAGCTCCAATATAACTCGAGATATGATTTTTCAAATTGGACAAAAAAAAAAGTGTTCAACTTATTTACTCATAAGCTTATTGTGCCATCTGCGTTATGAGAAGTTATTTTACAAGCGAATATTTGTTACATTTTAATATTAACTGAAAATTTCGTTTATTAATTAATTCATTTATTTTTTTTTAATCTAGAGAAATACAGTAACTTCAAATAATGTTCAATCATAAAATGTCCATTAATGTTTCTCTGAATATAAATTGAAGTTTATACTTTATTATTATACATATATTTATACTGAATTGATGTCCAACACTGCGTCCAATATTGATTTTTCGTAGGGGATTATTCGTAACTGCGATTTTTCACTTTTTCAAGGTCTTTTAACTCGGTAACGTACAGGATTGAAGGAAATTGACACGACTTACAATGAAAATAAAACAAAAATTCGCATTTAATGGCCCCGAGTGTTGAGCTCAGGGCCCTGACGTTCCCTCGATATCTGCCGTCAACAAGACTTAAACTAGAATTTCGCCAAAGCCGTATGACGATGTACGATGACCATCGGCGTGCAGGAGTAGGCAGCGCTCGTATATGCGACTAGTCAGTTGAGAAACTGGTACCTTAAAAAGTTATGAAGCTGTGTTTTTTTTGCAACCATCAACTAAGTATTTTAACTTTTTACACTGTTTACTTTGACAGAGGAAAACCGACACCTAGGTTATTGAAGTTTGGAGTATTTAGGCCGGAGTTCGCATTTCCAACACATTCACTGAGTGTTGGAAATGCGAACTCCGGCCTCAATCATGCACGGTTTCGAAATAGAACAGTTAGGAAATTAAACACGTCATAAAGCATACGTTATTGGCTGAGGTTAGATTCAAGCCAGGAACAAGTTCCTATGGCGACCGAGGCAAAGGGTTGTTAGGTTAGGTTTGATTAGGTTAGGTAGGGCAAAGTTAGTTCAGGCAAGGTTAGGTTACGTTAGGATAGGTTAGTTTAAGTTAGGTTAGATTGGGTTGGGTTTGATAAGGTACGATTAGGTTAGGACAGGTTAGGTCAGGATATTTCAGACTGTGTTTACTTAGGTTAGGTTAGGTTAGGGTTTTTTGACTTGGTCAAACTATTGTAAGATTGTTTTAACACTATGGCCACACATGAAAAGGCCACACTGGGGGATGGCTGTGTGTAGTGTGAAATGTGTGGCGAAGAGAAGAAGAGATAAAAAGAAAAAAAAAGTAAAAAAAAAAGTATGGTGGCTGATCTGGTTCGTCTGGAGCGGCACACAGTGTGTGCCCAAGCCAAGCGCAGCGTTACATAAAACTTAGATTCTCCACCTTTGATACTCCTGCTGGCCGAGTCATACGGAATCGAGGGTTATGGGGTTGAAAGTTTCACTCTAGCCATTTTTCCCAGCAACTCACCCGCCGGAACCTCATGAAACTTGGCATAGAGTCGACCACGTATTTTTTCAACCGAACCTTCTTGTCCAATTTCCAAAATTTTTATTCCTTACCCCCTAAAACCCCCCAAAACCCCCAAAATATTGGCAAAAAATGACCTAAAACTGGGTAAAACCTGACCTCATAACTCGAAAAGTTGCGAACTCAGAGCAATGAAATTCATTTCAAACGAAAGGAAAAATCTTGGATCGTGTATGGGATTTCGAACAATTTTTTGTAAAACTTCAACCCCAAAATGGGGGTTAAAGTTGACCCTGAAAAATTAATTTCTGCCGTTTATCGGTGGTTTTTCAACTCTCACGGCCAAACCGTAAACATTTTTGCCATAGTATAAGCGAGAAAAATATGCGTCTTGTTGAGACAAAGACAATGGTGAAAACGGATTTTGAAAAAGTTCAAAACTCACAAAGTTGTGATCAACTTTTTAACTTTTTTCTTCACAACTCTACGGAAAAATTTTGTTGTTTTTTTCATCAACACTAATCATAAAGTACAAGTCTTTGCCTTTAATTTGGACCCTGTTTCATGATCCTAGCTTTTATAGAACTCGAGTTATGATTTTTCAAAATAAACAAGAATTGACCAAATTTTCGCTTAAAATCACGTGCCAATGAACAGCTTTGTGTGCACAGCTGGGCTGCGAGCTGGCTGCATTGCCAGTGTACCACGTGGTAGAGAGAAGGAAGGATGTTGTTCTTCTCGCTGCGCGCCACTGGCCTTTCATGTACTATTTTCGCAATGTCGGGCTACGTAACTGAGAGCGTGTTAGCTCAAAATTGTTTTTTCATTTATTTAAAGTAGTTATTAAGCTGTCATCTAGGTTTTGCGGCCAGAATAATATGATATGCCGCCATGAGAAATGCAAGCAACTGATAATTTAATGCAATGTTTCACCTCGGGCGACCGTGCAAGCTTCGTAATTTCAGGAAGCTTTCTGAAAGTTGCTATCAACAGAGGATAAAATTGCGCGAATTACTGTGTATATCACTCATTTTCAAAATTTATCTATTTAACAAATTTCATGCCCAAACTTTTTCAAAAAATCTAATTTATGCACTTGTCCAAGCAATGAGAATTACAATTTAAAAAAATGTAAATTCTCTAAAGAGGGACCCGACTGCTGAACGTCGGGTCCCTCTCATTATTCCCATATTTGTTCCCAAACATTTTGTAGAAATAAATTCCTATCAGCCCGTCTCTTAGTAAATTCTAGATTTATTTACAGTACATTTACATTAAATTTACTTTGCATTTATTACATTACCCAAACTTTTTTACACTGCGGAAAAAACAACCGTCGATCCAAGAAGCGGCTGTGCATGTCTTGGGGCAGTATATCACAAAATTTTCCTATATATATTAATAAAAGGAAGTTATTAAAGCCTTGAATTTCTGAAGCTTCACCGATTCGAAATTTCGACAGTCCACCTCAAACGACGCGCTGTTTTCTTTGAGGCCCACAAGGCCTCATGGGTAAACTGTTATAGATCAATCGTGTTCCTCAGTCAAAAGTTTTTTAAAATAATATTATGTCGAATAATATTCATCCTCCCGATAAAATCGCCAATCGTAGTATGACAAGTTATTTTTCAAGCAAATATTTGTTAAATTTCAGTATGGGATATTTTTAAATCTAAAGAAATACATTATCTTTAAATAATGTTCACGACGTCGGTTTAATTTTCTCTAATCAAAATCGACAATATACGGTTGAATAAAACGAGAAATATATCATTGTATATTTTTAGTTTTTTTTTGATAAAAAACGTTGACGGTAACAACCAAAAAAAAAAATAACCACCTTGTCGCCGCAAAAATATAAATAAGTAGGTAATGGAAAGGCCACGATTAGCAATTTTAATACACATAAATTAAGGACCCTGCGACTGTGAAGAAGGTGAGATCAGGACATCATTCGTGCCGGAGCTCCACGTGTCTCCATGGCAGATGCGTCCCATGGCCCCATGGATGATCACGATTCGTCATCTAGAAAAGAACAGTCAAATTAGGGCAAAAGAAGAAGTGGAATACCTGTCAATGGAAATATTTCATATCATGAATGGTCTTGAAGAGCTGTTAAAAATAAAAAATAAGGGATTAACGTGAGCACTCAGCCAGGTGAGGAAAAAACTGACTTGAAATCAACACAAGTAGGTTATAAATTTAATAACTTAGCAAACAATCTTCCCGAAATTTGTTTACAGATTTTAGCTGCAGAAAAATCTGAGATATCAGAAGAGCAAAACAAAAGCTTCTTATGTCAGAGGAGCATAACAAAGGAATAATTCTGCATAACATATATTCAGATCCCAAAAAAAAATGCTGCGAATATTCAGTTAATAAGTGATCTTCCACACAAAAGGATAAAAGAACACAAATCACAGTTGTAATTAATAACTGTCACCATAAGTTTCCTTATTCCTGGTACAATGCATCATTTTAAAACATAAATACAAAATAATGCTCTCCACAATTTTGAAAGCAAAGTTCAATTCCCATAGTTTGCTTCAGAATACTAATTGTATTGTATAGTACACCAGATCATCCTAATGTTGGTGCTAAAGAGTGTTTTTTTTCTGAGAGGAAATTATTGGTTAAATATGGTCCCAAAATGGATGACCTAACACATGTACATAGCCAGAGTATCTCGAGTTACGCACAAAGCTTGTTGACCTTAGCAGGACGGCATCACACCCAACATACCTTGGTGCTGGCCATCCCCCAGTCTCTGGGTTCTTCATGAGCTGCAAGCGTGGGAGCCAACTATGCAGGACCTCCACCAAAACCATCACCACTTCACAGACATCTGATGGACAATACACAAGGAGTTAAATCAAATCTCTTCAAGCCTGCAACAATTTTACCAGTATTTTAGAGTATTTACCACTACCAGTATTATTTGAGGTAATTTTCCACAATATGACTTTTCACACTTTTTTCATGGAATTTTTTGAGGTAGTATATGTATGATTTCTTAACTTGCTTTATGCTACACAGATAGGAAAAATGTTGAACTTTAAGCCAGCCACAATTTCTAGTTTTCAATTAGAAATTTCAAATTTTCTAGTTTCAATTCATTTCATTTTAATTAGTTCTGCAGCTACAACATTTCTAAAAAAAATATAGGAGGCAGGAGGACTGTCCCGATTTACCCTGCCCATCCTTCATCACCATGTTTGATGGTATCATATAAAGCAAATTTTTAAAAATAAATTTATTTTTAATTTCTTAATAAGATTTAATTTTTTTTACATATATCTGTATGAGAATGTTAGCATTCAATGTGAAATATCAGGTTGGATTTTTGAAAAATTGCAGGGAAAAAATAATTAAATTGCAGTTCATTTTTTAAAAGCCAGAATGGAGACGTAAAATCACCAACGTTAGCTAACTCAAGGCCCAGCTTCTCGAATCAAAACTTTATTCATTAACGACTATAACGAGAGTCGAGATATAAATAAAAAACCATGTTATCATACTACAAAAGGCTTTTTATGAACGAATTCATTTTAACTTCTCAATTATGATTAAAAATTAATTCCATATTTCTGCATGACATGTACCTACCTAGGATAATATTGCCTTTACCTAGTATCCAATGTGGGATATCAGGCAGGATTTTCCAAAAATTGCAGAATTGGGGTAAAAAACAGTTATTTATCTGTGTAATTATTCAAGGAAAATAAGCAAGGGGCCAAGGGCCATAAAAATGGCTCAAATTGTTTGAGATTTTAAGCAATTTTTTTGTAAATTCACTGTCAGATGGCTAGGTATTGCCCAATTTTTCAGGACTCAAATTACAAATTCTGGAAGGTAGTAGCCTATATGGTTTTTATTAATGAGTGGCAACGCAACTGGCAAGTTAAGTGCATGAATGCAACCTATCTGGGCTGATCTGGCCATATGTCATAACAATCTATCATATGATCTTCAAAACTTGAATTTGAAGATTTAAGTAACATGAATTGAAATAAAAATATATTACCGGCAGAATTAAGATATGTTGATGCATATTATCATATGTGTTTTCATTTCTGGACAGTATTAAGTGATTTAATTACTGAAGATTCATAAATTGACTTTACTCACCTGAGTCACCTCAGTCATAGGCCTGGGCGGCGGCGCCTGGCCTGTCAGGCCATTTGGTTTAGGCTGAAGTTATAAATTGACCGAATTCATTGACAAAATTATTTAATATTGGCAAAAACATTTAAATTGTGATTGCATAGCTTATTAAGTCTTTCATTCCTTCAATAAAGCCTATAAATTATAAAGAAGGGCATAGCCTACTTTTAGATTTCACAAGCACGACAGTGACGACACGTGTGTTTATTGAATTTCCCGAGCATGGTACCCGTCCGGTAATAACATTTGCCGGATTCTGATTTCAGCAAATATTGACGAGTATTATTAGGAAATTAAATTATACACTTTGTCTGTTTTTCAAGAGTTAATTACTCATAAACTTACATGAGCAAAATACATTGATAAGCTTTTAATCAATAATATCTTTTTACACCTTTTATCATGCAAATCGTTGATTCAATAATATTTATTAGCTTTACGCAGACAAATTTTTGACCAAAGGTTTCAAATTGATATTTCCTATCTTAACTAATTCTTAACTTGACACAGACAAAATTTTGACCGAAGGTTTTAAATTAATATTTCTTATCTTAAGTAATTCTTAACTAATTAATATTAATAATACTTTTCTGAATCTAAATTGAAGTTTATACCTTTTTGTTAAATTTATATATTTATATGTAATTGAAGTCCAACACTGCGTCCAATACTGGTTTTTCGTAGGGGATTATTCCATGGGCCTATTTCTTCAGTGCCGACACTTCTATTCTATTCTAACTGCGATTTTTGGCTTTTTCGACGTCTTTTAACTCGATAACGCACAGGTATTGACGTATGATGACCATCGGCGTTTAGGAGTTGGCAGCGCTCTCAAATGCGAGCAGTAAGATGAGAAACTGGTAGCTTCAGAAGTTTTGAGGCTGTATTTTTTGCAACCATCGACTAAGTATTTAAACTTTTTGCACTGTTTACTTTGATAGAGGAAAACCGACACCTAGGTTATAGAAGTTTGGAGTATTTAGGCCGGAGTTCGCATTTCCAACACGTTCAGTGAGTGTTGGAAATGCGAACTCCGGCCACAATCATGCACGGATTCAAAATAGAACAGGTAGGAAATTAAACATGTTGTAAAATATACGGCATTTGCTGAGGTTAGGTTCAAGCCAGGAACAAGTTACTATGGCGACTATCACACTGGGGTTAGGTTAAGTTTGATTAGGTTAGGTAAGGCAAAGATAGTTCAGGCAAGGTTAGGTTAGGATAGGTTAGGTTAGTGTAAGTTTGGTTTAGTTGGGTTGGGTGAGATAAGGTAAAATTAGGTTAGGTCAGGTTAGTTTAGATATGTCAGGCTATGCCCAGTTTGATTAGGTTAGGTTAGGGTTTTTGGATAGGTAAGACTACTGAAAGATTGTTTTAAACGCTGTTATGACTATTGACACACACAGGAAAAGGCCACAATGGGGGATACTTGTGTGTAGTGTGAAATGTGTGGCTAAGAGAAGAAGAGATAAAAAGAAAAAAAAGTAAAAAAAAAAGTATGGTGGCTGATCTGGTTGCCAAATCAAAAAAACGGACCGGGGCGCAAGCCCCCGTTTTTCCGCCATTTGCGTTTTGACTTTAGTACTTTGATTTTTATTGCCAAATCAAAAAAACGGACCGGGGCGCAAGCCCCCGTTTTTCCGCCATTTGCGTTTTGACTTTAGTACTTTGATTTTTATACTTACATTATCTCTCGGGGGTGCTACGAGGGTAAAAGTTTTACATTTTTGCTTCTAACTCCGGCAAAATCCGACCGATTTTCTTCAAACCTTCACCATTATTTGAACCGATGTTTTTCGCTTACTTTTACGGTTTAATTTGTCTCTGAAAGTTTTATTTTCATATAGAAATTGTTGAATTATCGAAAAAAATTAAAATCGGCCGTTCGCCTTTTCGCGCTTATAACTCCGGTTTTAGGCTCACAATTTGATTAAAATTTTTTTCCTCATATTCTCTGAGTCACGACGAACATTTTGGTATATAATATGACCCGATAAAAAATTGTTTTATATTTTATTTATTCAATTTTCCATGAAAATTTTACCTTTTTGTCCATAAATTTGTTGAACGACTCACCAAAAATCTGAAACTTCTTTGTACGTGTGCACTGATTCATACAGAACATTTTGATGTATGACATGTGTATGTAAAAAATTATTTAGTATATAATTTTTCCATATTAAAGTTTATTTCAATTTACGCTATAACTTTAGTAATAGATCACAAAACGAATTGAAATTTCGCACAAAAATACCTACGTGTGTTGTGAACATGTAAATATATTCAACATATTTTTTGAATGTAGATTTCTCAATATATAAAATAATTTCGATAATCCAAAAATTTTCATCATTTGATGAAATGACATGACCAAAAG